CTATAACGTTGTAAACCGTGGAGTGATTCTGCTCCTGAGCTTCTAGAAAATTTTCGATATCCATCAAGAATCCACTTATGACCTCTTGATAACTTTTGTTTCCGCGCAAACCCTGAAAGATGTGGAACCGATAAGATGACAATTCCCTTTGATTATATTTGAAAGCTATTCTTAAACAATGACGACGATGGCCATCTAACGAGTAAGGGAATGGATGATGTAAAAGCAACTGAACAGGTGAAGGAAGCATACATAATTCAAAATTACGTTGTGGTAGCTCTTTATGTTCAAAGATAAATCGTTGATATGACATATCCGAAAGAAAAGCAAAGATTTTATTCGTTGTATGCAATAAAAATTATATTATGATATCGATAGATTTCTCATTATGCGCTAGAAAGTCTGGATCATTTCTTCCAAGCCAACTTTCTTCGCGGAAAACAATTACGTTGTTAAGTAAAGGATGAATTTTAGTATGGCCAGCAACGACTGGGCAACTCTGTCGGTCCACAAGATATTTAGAACGGCATCAGCACAAGGAACTTCACCATGTCTACCTATGCGAAGTGGATGGGAAATTTCAAAGCAAAAAGCACAGGTTGCAGCCAAGCATAAGAAGAACGCGAATCATTTAAAAATAAGTTTTTGGCTTTCTTACAGTGTTAGAAGAGATTAATGGTCTTCTATTTTGAGCATTTCGAAGTAGTTTCCAAGAATTGGACTTGCTGCGGAAATGGGGGCATGCGTATAAGTGAACCAGCTAAAGACGATAACGAGCATTGTCGTCTACGCACTGTATATCTGATTTGTGTACAGCACTTTCCAACTATGCACAACTGTCATTAAAATCATTTATTTCCTACAAGACAAACTTCGCATTTGATTATCAAGAACTAAATCTCGTCTTCAATCAAACTTATAGCATTTCCAGCAAACAAAATATACAACATAAATACCAATACCCATTTTCAGTTCGAAGCTGTCTTACATTGGAATCACAGTTAACACGATAGATTTAATCAAAACGATAGCATTCACATAATGATTCTTTACTTGAATCAGTATTTATATCATGGCAACACCACATGTTGTAATGGTTGGTGATTTGTATACGAAAGTATACTTTTGTGGATCATCGCTCATTGTTAATGATGACCAGAACGTCGTCGTATCACGTCTTTTTCTGCTGCCTGAAACAACATTTCACTTAATCAGGCATGCCTGGTCTCTATGACCATCTAATCAAATGAAAATATAGCATATGGAAGTTTGAAGAAGGGAGGCCAGACATGCCCTCATTTGTGAAAAGCCATTTCTTTCCAGTGCTGCGAAAGATTAACAAGAGGGTGCATGGGTGGTCAAAAGATTTTTAGAATAATTTTTAAAGATCCTTCAATTCTTCTATAACTTGCTTCGGCTTCCCTTCTTCTTCTTAACGTTTATAAAATTATCAACTTTGTTTTTTTCAAGACCAATACTTGAAAGTTAATCTGTAGCTTAATGTACTGATT